GTGTGTGCGGTGCCGCGCGTGTGAAGTACGAATATATTCGTATGATAATTTATCATATCTATTTCCTTGCAGGTTTATCGACCGTCCGATAGCCACGACAAGCGCGCCATTTTTGTGGCGATGTCTCTGTTTGCGTTACCATCACAACTGCCAAACTTTCTATGTTGTCGGAAAGCAGACGTACGTATAGAAATAACTACAGCGCCCGCCCCCCCCCTAGTAGCTATTCACAGAACAACAATACATCTAAAACATCCAGAACAACAGCAGCAACAGTAAACAGAAAGCCTAATTTATATTATTTATAATTTATTAATCTATTATAATTTATTAATTTATATTATTAGATTACATCATACAGTAGTTCCCGGTTTATCGAGACAGATCGGGAACCATGTAATAAACGTCCTGATTAACGGTGTCCCAATTAAACGGTTTAAACAAATAACATACTGTGCGAGGATCGTTCTTCGAATACACATATGTCGTTTAAGCGATGCGCCCGTTAATCCGAGTCCCGATTAAGCGGGGGGGGGGGAGGAGGAGGAGACCACAGTGATGACGTATGACGTCATGTTGTTTGTGTTGTTGCAGACGATTCTCCGGCAGGCCCCCGTGCGGCGCTGCTGGACTGGGCGACGGTGCAACACAAGATGCCGTGGGGCATAGTGTTCCTCATGGGTGGAGGTTTTGCTATCGCCAAGGGCGTCGCGGTCAGTGCTGCTGCCGCTGCTGCCGGCAGATTCACGTGTAGCGTTGATGTGTCATAGCACATGCAGACTAGACTGGCAGAGAATATACAGAGGAGAGAGAGGCGCGCCGCTGAGAGAGCGCGTAGAGAGAAGCGAAGATAGAGAGAGAGAGAGAGAGAGAGAGAGAGAGAGAAAGAGCGAGACGGAGAGGAAGAATATACTACATGCGTGCGGTGCGTGCGTTGGCGGCGTGTGTGCGTGTGTGTGCGTGATGCTGCAGTGCGTGCGTGTGTGTAATGCGTGTATCTGGCGTGCGGTGCATGCGTGTGCTGTGCGTCGTATCTGCAGTGCGTGCATGTGTATGCGTGTATCCTGCAGTGCTGCATGTGTTGTGTGTGCGTGTATCTGCAGTGCGTGCATGTGTATGCTGTGTATCTGGCAAGGGCGTGCATGGTGTGCTGTGTGCGTGTATCTCGCAGTGCGTGCGATGCATGCGTGTATCTGTGTATACATCCATGACCGTGTGTGTCTCTATGCTGTGCTGTTTGCATGATCCAGGGCCTGGCGGAGTGCGGTGAGCACCGACACCAGAACTAGCTAGTCTGAACAGCCTGCACCTGGAGTGTTCCTGTGTGCTCTGCACTATGTAGCACGCAACTAACGGAAATTTTTCTCAGGCAATACAGCCACAAGCCAACATCATGGCTGCCACTCATGCCTAACCGGTACAGAAGACTGGGTGGAGGAGAGGAGGGAGAGGAGAGAGGGAGAGAGGAGAGGGGGGAGGAGAGAGACGATATGGGAGATGGGGAGAGGGAGAAGGGGAGAGGGAGAATGGGAGAAGGGGGTCGAGAGGAGGAGGGCTTGCCAAGCAATAGCAGCCACAGGCAAACATCCATGGCTGCCACTCATGCTAACCCTGGAAGAGACTGGGGAGGGGAGGAGGGAGAGGGGGGAGAGGGAGAGGGGGAGGAGGGGAGAGGTGAAGGAGACAGGGGAGAAGGGGGTTTCGAAGAGGAGGAGGGCTTGGCCAGCAATAACCAGCCAAGCCAAAGCATCATGCCTGCCGCACAGCCCTAACCTTGGTAAGAAGAGAGAGAGAGAGAGATGAGGAGGAAGAGAGAGAGAGAGAGAGAGCGAGAGACGAGAGAGATGAGAGAGAGAGAGAGAGAGAGAGAGAGAGAGAGAGAGGGAGAGAGAAGAGAAAAAGAGAAGAGAGAGAGAGAGAGTGAGAAGGAGAGAGAGAGAGTGAGAGAGAGAGAGAGGCGGGGATAGGGAGAGGGGAAGAGGGAAACCGGGGAGAGGGGGAGGAGGGAGGGGGAGAAGGGAGAAGATAGGGAAGAGAGGTGAATAAATGGGAAACAAAGAGAGCGGACAAAGAGTGGCGAGAGAGCGAGAGGGTTATATATATATATATATTACTATAGTATATATATATATATATATATATATATATGGATAGATACTATAGATAGTACATAAGATAGATAGAATAGATAGACTAGATCGATAGACATAGAATAGATAGATCATAGATAGAGTAGATGATAGATAGACTAGATGACTGTATGGAATAGATTAGATATGATAGATCGAGAGAGAGGGGGAGAGCGAGAGAGAGAGAGACGAGAGAGAGAGGAGCAGAGAGAAGAGAGAGAGAGAGAGAGCGAGAGAGAGAGAGAGAGAGAGAGAGAGGAGAGAGAAGAGAGAGAGAGAGAGAGAGCAGAGAGAGATAGAGAGAGAGAGAGAGAGAGAGAGAGAGAGAGAGAGAGAGAGAGAGAGAGAGAGAGAAGAGAGAGAGAGAGAAG